TTATAAATTACTAATTTTTAATCATAAATCACTAATTCTTAATCTATTTATTATCAAAATGTGTATTTATTTATTAATCTATTTATTAATTATAAATTACTAATTATTAATCTATTTATTACCAAAATATCTGTTTTTTTTTCAAAACACCATCCTGAAGAGCAGAGGTGTCACCTCCACAACGTGACCAAATCCTGAGTGGATAATTCTGGATTTGCCAATGTCCCCTCAGGCACATCCTGCAYAGGCACCACCTAAACCAAAGCTCCAAAGCACAAACATCACCCCAAAGTACAGCAGACGTTGTGCTTGAAATTTTTGATTAGTTCTACAGAAATTAAAATTGAAATTCTGCATTCAAAGGTTTTCACAAGGGTTTTTATCCACTTTTCACAGTATTGCTATATAACCTGATAAAAATCTAGGCCAGAATCATTTTTGTAATGAAGGTTATCAGCCTACCAAAATTTCCAGTGATTATTTCACTTCTAGATTTCAAAGAACACCTAATTTCTCCTCGATTAAAATGCAGAACTCCAGTACTCCACAAAAGTGGATTTTATTGAATTCACCCTGCAATTGGAGGATCTCCAGAGCTCGTGGCTCCAACCTGGAGAGTCTGAGCTGCAATGAGGTGAAACTCAGGCTTCACTCAGGACAATTCTAATGTCAGATCTTAAATTCCAGGGTGTTCTCAGGGGCACAACTGAGGCTGAATAAATTTAAGAACCTCGGCATCTGAACAGGCAATAATGAAGTGATGGGTGAAGTGAAAGTGCGTCAAGGAGAGAAATTGCTGTTATCAAAATCCTTCCTTAAACAAAAGCTTCAATCCTCCCCTGCCCCTGTGAGAGCCCCAAATCACAGCAGATTCAGTCACATTCCCTGGCAGCCTCAAAGCCTGATTTTCTCCATGATCCAACAGTGTAAAACTCCAGCAAACGTTGCATTAAATTCCTCAAAACTCCCAGATCCACATATGCAGAGTTGCTATAGCAACTGTCAGCTCAAGCCTTCCCAAGGGAGAAAATAAAAGTGTGTCCTACCTGGCTAATTGGTATTTGTGTTMCCGAGAATTGAAGGGTAACTCAGTTTCACCAAAAAATAGAACATAGACTGAAGTGCTCCTGTGCTAATGTGACATTATTTAATCTGAACAAGAACCCACTTTGCATGTGCCTTCAAATTATAGTATTTATGRAACACTCAACACAATAAGTAAAAGTGCTGCTGCCAAATATGCCTGACTTCCCCTGCTTATTGATTTGAATAAAAGGAGCATTGAAAAAAAAACCACAGAGAAACAAGAAGAAGGTGGAAGAACTGATGGGATTAGGGACTATGAATTTCTTATTGATTGTATTATAAAAACCTACAGAACCCCCMAAAACCCAACAGCTTACAACTGAAAGTTAATGCAGAAATAAGATGATGGAAAATGATGAGTCCATGGTCAGCTTGTCCCTATTTCTCATCACTGCAGGAGAATAAAGCTCCCAAACAGAACCACCACTCTGGCTGAACAACAGTCATCCCTCACTGAGAGCCACAATCAGAACTTTGTAACTTGAGAAAAACCCTGAAAATCATTCAAGAAAAAAAATCCCACTGGCAGGATATTTTCAGGAGCACGCTGACAGCTCTCACTGGCTTGTAAACACATCCAGAAATGGATTATTTTAATCTTAGCACAATTACTAAATAAAAGCAATCACAGCTCCGAGGCAGCAGAACCTCTGTGAAACATGAAAATATAACAATGACATCTCTGCCTATATCAGTGCAATGACATAATGGTGGAAAATGAGACCTCAGGGGAATGTTCATCTCCTCTGGGCAGTGTGTGCCAGGGCTCCCCACCCTCACAGGATGCAATTCTTTCAATATATCAGTGTGAATCTCCTCTCCTTCTGCTTGAAGCCATTATAAGGCTTTCTATCAATTATGCACCAAAGG